ATCACAAATTGATCGTTCATCTCGGAGTAAAGTACAGTAATGTTCGGCAAGATGCCTCACCAGTGGGGCATCCGGCTTACTTCTCGCGTTCTCCCTCTTCGCCTCCTCCCTCCCTCCCCCATGGCAAGAGATGCGATGATGATGAAAGGCGGAGAGACGGTTGCTAACACAAGAAAACGAAAACACCATCCCCCAATTCCTCCTCCTACTCCTCCCCCCCGATCGGTCTCACAGGGAGCGAAGGAGTCAGTCCGGCGATGATGGCTATTCGCCATAGAGGCAAGAGAGGCTCCTTTGCCACAATCTCCAGGAATATCTCCTCCACCTGCCTACATCACGGAAATGAGGAGCGAGAGGAGGTGACACGGGCGCTGGGGCGATCGCTATTGAGTGACTGCTATAGTCTTCTAGAGGAAGTTTGCACTGACAAGGTACTTTGTTCAGCAGTACTCAACGCTAAAGCAGAATTGTAATTTAAGCAACGAAGTGTCAAAGAAATACGGTCGGAAAATTGACATTCTCTACACGCCATACATGCAGTACTGTATTTCACGCATCACAGAGTTATTTTCAGCAGGCATCCTATAGTACGTTGGCTGAAACATTGCAAGTTTTTTGCGTAACTAAAACTGCATATTCGATTCGCTTTGAAGTACGTTGACATTACTCTCTCCCTCTCTCACTGTCTGTAAAGGTCCTTGGTGAAGTCAACCCATTGCAGGCGAGTTAGTATCCTGTAGTATTCTTCAATTCTCACTCTTCATAGTAGCAAACCATTCTGTCATCCATGGCTCCAATGAATCATCTTCCCTATCTGTTGCACCAACCGCTTCATATAAATTCACACTAACTAACCAATAAAAAAACACCCCAAGATCCTGCCAAATTAATGCGTTTCAATCAACAACTACATAAACCTTCTCTGTTCAAACTACCGAGGCTACAAAAATTGACAAAAGCAGCAGACAATGTTTAACAAACTTTTTTGACAAAACTGCAGCCTCTTATAGCTTTAGACTCTCTTAAAGATTGAACTTTCTTTAAGTGATTCAAACCGAATAAAGAATATGCATGCAAGCGTCAGTGCGACCATAGGGAAAGGACATGTCACTCACACCCAGGGCCCAACTCCAACGCGCGTCCTGGGTGGGATTCTGTTTGCGCTCATCTCTCTCCTTACGTTCCGTCGGGGCCAGTGAGTGAAGTGACGTGAGATGAATGCGAGTGGTCCTCTGCCTTGTGGAGCTCACTAAGCTCAATGCTATGAACATTCCCACAACTCCTCTTCTTCGCTCTCCTCCTCACCTGAGAAAGGCGGAGCGGAAGAGAGCAGAGCACGTCCATAGAGCACAAGACAACAAACAACAACAATACGATGACTGTAGGAGAGATTCGGCCCCTCAGTTTCATTAGGAGAGATTCGGCCCCTCAGTTTCATTAGGAGAGATTCGGCCCCTCAGTTTCATTTACTCTTCATTACTACCTTTGGTGGGGGTTTGCCGTTGAAAGGTAATACCTTTCTCTTCATTACTATCTTTGGTGGGGGTTTGCCGTTGAAAGGTAATACCTTTCACTCTTCAGTTCACCGACTCTTCAGTTGAGCTACTTCCATATATAGCAGCCTATGTATACTGTCAGTAAGAGTAGCTCCCTACAATACATGTAGGAGATCCTCCCAGGTATGTTGGTATGTTTAACAACAAGGCCACCATCAAAACAACCGCCACTTGCAAACCACTCCAGCTGATACGCTTCGTCGAGCGGTTGCCACGGAGACGAGGGGTGTAATCGTCCGTGAATCTGATTGGTCGACCAAGCCTCCCTCTCAGGGGAGACTGCGGCTAGCCACAGTCATTGAGGACAAGTGAGTGCGGTGACTGGTGAGGGTGTGAATAATGTGATTGTGGGAAGCGGGAGATGATAGTCACGGACTACGAGACAGACGTATGGGGAGTGACCTCACATTATCGAACCCCTGTAGGCTCTGTTGCTATGGTGATAGCATTGCACGGGGATTGTTTTGGCTACTCGGCCAGAGACACGTGTCTGCAAACATAGTTTATTCTCCTTCTTTCTCCCCCCTCCCTTTTCTATCTCTCTCTCTCCCTCTCTCTCCTCTCTCTCCCATCATCTCCCTCCCTCACCTGTCTCTACCTCCCTCACCTCTCTCTTTCTCTCCGGGCGGCTGAGGAGAAGGAGTTCTCTGGCTCTGGCTCACGTCTCCTCCCTCAAACATGGGAACTGTGTTCTGAACTTCTTCATCCTTTGAAACAGGCGGAATTTTATCGTGAAAAATGTGTTTCTTAATACATAATGAGTTTTATCTTGCTAATGAGAGTGTTGGATTGCCGCACCTCCAGTCCGTACTCATGGACTCTCTCCATCCAGTTGGAGAATACAGCTCCGTCGCGGAATATACTCTTACGAAAGTCTCTTTTGAAAGGATTCAGCTGCGTCTGACTGGCTCTGTGGTCCTGACAGTGGGGAGAGGGTTAATTAAATAAAAACCTGGCACATGAACCACTAACTACATATATCAGCTACCACGAACTTTTGCCTGAAACCTCGATAATAATAATCTACACAAAGCTTGTAGGAGCGTACTTTTCTATCAAGGTCGTCATCATCGTCATATTCCTCGTCCAGAGAATAGGCCCTCTCTCTCCTCTCGTCAAGGGTTCCTCCTCTTATCCTTTGGGTCGAACCTCTGCAATTAGCAGCAATAATATACCCTTGGTCTCAACAGTGACAAGATAATGTCTGTATCACATTACTTCAAGGTAGGTGTGTATGGTTTCACTGATACTGACTACTGTACACTTGAAGGGAATGTGGCAGTATATAAGGGATAAACAACAACAACAACAACAACAACGAGAAGATGAAATTTTGAAAAGTGACTTTTAAAAAATAAATCAAGTACTGATTATGCGATTTAAGCCATTTCTTGGATAAAAGCTCTTTGTGACGATACGGATCAGTCTGATGTGTCAAAAGTTGGATATGATTGAAACTTAAAGTGAAACATGAAAATCTCAAATGTATGGGCATAATGGAGGACAACCTGTGTCATCCCTAGTACATACATAATGGAGGACAACCTGTGTCATCCCTAGTACATACATAATGGAGGACAACCTGTGTCATCCCTAGTACATACATAATGGAGGACAACCTGTGTCATCCCTAGTACATACATAATGGAGGACAACCTGTGTCATCCCTAGTACATACATAATGGAGGACAACCTGTGTCATCCCTAGTACATACATAATGGAGGACAACCTGTGTCATCCCTAGTACATACATAATGGAGGACAACCTGTGTCATCCCTAGTACATACATAATGGAGGACAACCTGTGTCATCCCTATATACTGTGTCATCCCTATGTACATACTACCGTACATAGTGATAAACGCTGCTAAACCACACGACGGTAAGGCAGGCAGTAATGGTAGTTTACATAAGTACACTGTATATATGTGGCCTAGAATTTATTCTTCGCAGAAGCATTCTTCAGTGCTAGAAGTGGCTAACTGAGCTGTATTGCCAACAAGTGGAAGAAGCTCTATCTTATCCATCACGCAGTGTGTATTGCTCTTCCATGAAAAAAGCTAATGTGTGAAGTGATCTCACCGTTGCTCCCTCTCGAGGAGGGGGAGGAGTCTGGATCTCTCGTGGTCCAGAGACGGGCCGTGCAGAGAGCGAGGGGGACCGAGGTAGGGGACCGGCTGGGAGAGAGAGTAGCCCGACGGACCCCCCATCATGTGACGGGGGTCGTAACCTCCGGGGTGCAGATAATTAGCAGCTGGGGGGGTGGAGATTACAAGAATACACCCCTATTTAAACGAACAAGAGGTTTTATAATCATACACCCAAAATTATGTACCACCAACATTAACGATCTAAGAGATTATACAATCTTCGATATCATGAACAATCCTTTAAAAAGTGCGTCAGCCCTCACAACACTGTATGTATAGAGTTACACAGTTGTCACTGCTAGAAACACAATTTGGTCCTCCCCTTTGCATTAGTCTATCAAACTGACGTCTATATGAACCTCAGTCTCATAATCACTATCATACCAGGGGGCGGGGGAATGTTGAATCCGAGGGACCGCTCTGGAGGGAAAGTGGGGCGTGGTCGGCTGGGAAAGGAAGTAGTCCATGGGCGGGTCCTCGTCTTGGCGGAGTCTGACCCCGCCCAAATGCTCCATCCTCTCGTGGCTCTTCACTCGCAACAGCCGCGCCTCTTCCATCAGGATGTGGTCTCGTCTCGTTCCGAACCTGGCCGCTCGGTGGTGATGGTCGAAACACCCCACGATCATACCGCCCTCCCGCCCCGTGATGGAGGTCGTACAAACTCCGCCCCCCTACGGAGTAAGGGGAGGCGTGGTCAAATTCTCCCCCGGCGTAGGATCTTCGCCAGTCCGGGTGGGGGTAAGGGTGCCGGTCGAAATCCCCTGCGAACCCGTGACCCCTGACGTACCCCTCGTGGTTGTCATAGGAACCGTATCCGTCTCGGTAGTCTCTGTGGTAGTAGTGGTCTCGTCCACCGCGACCACTCCCCTCACCCCCCCGGGGTCCACGCTCAAAACCAAAACCACCACTGCCACTAAACTCGCCCGGTCTACCAAGAGTACTGGAGCGTGCCGGTGACATCACGAAATTTCCATCCGTCCCACGCTGGATCCGGGAATAGGAATTGGACCCTGACCTCTTGTCGCCTCTGGGGGAAAACTCGTAGCTTCCTCCCCTCTGAGACCCCCTGGAACTGGCCCCCTCATCCTTCTTCTCGGGGGGAACCCCCGCTCGTTTTGGGGTTGTGTCACTCTGACTCGGAGTAAGGTTGGGGTATTCTCTGGGGTACTCCGCCCCTCCTCCAGACAAAGCTCCGCCCTCTTGTAGACTCAGCTCCTGTAGATATAATGTACAAAACTACTGTTTAACCAAATTGTTGACAACATCGAAAGCAACTACTGAAAGATGGAGAGGAAGTAGAGATGGGAACCTGAGAAGTGGAGTAAGCTTCCAGACTCTTGGGCTGGCTGTGAGAGAAGCTCTCTTGAGACTTGGGGGCATAGCCACTGTCCACTGAGGATGGGAGAGAGAGAGAGGGAGAGAGAGAGAATGGTTTTGTATGGCTTCAGAAGACTTGAGGGCAGCGTTCTTTTCAAAAGCGTAGCAACATAATATCACACACATACATGTAATATAGCCAGTTAACTCGGCTCAAACTAAGCTGGAAATATTCTCCTTGTATGGTGGTGTGCCGTGGTGGTTCTTTCTAGTGTGTTATATACACTTAAAACTTCACACGTTTGGTAATTATTGTGTGCTGACCTTGACTGCTCCAGTTGGCTCTCCGCGGAGTGAGATGAGGACTCTCCGGGTCTTGCGAGGCTTCTCTCTCCTCCTCTTCTTCCTCTCCCTCCCACCCGGCACCAGTCACCACCAGCTCCGTGTCCTGCGAGGCTCCCAGGCCCGGGATGTGGGCGAGTTCCTCAGCCTCCCTCCCGCCCTCCCCCTCTTCCTCCTCCTCTCCCTCCTCCCCCAGCTCCTCCTCCTCCTCTCCACTCCTCCACTCACAGCGATATTCTGTACGGAGGGTTTAATACACACACTATATTTTATACAAAACCTTAAACGGAGAAACTATCCACGATTCTCGCAAAACCTTTGTCTATTGTGTAGTCATTTGCTTGTCACGGTTGACTAAGCAATTTTTCACCAAACCATTCATCTACTTGAAAAGTTCTCATAATGGGACTAGCAACACGTTTTTGGTGAGCAAAGTGTCCATTCTGAAACCTCTAGCAATTAGAATGCCAACATTCTAACTGCCTGAAATTCTTTCAATTACTGAGGTGTTTGCTAATCAAATGGGACCCATATTTGGGACCCATATTAGGAAGGTTTACTGTACATACCAGCTGTAGGATTGTACACACATACCTCAATGGAAGGAGGTAGTTCAGGGCCGTCATTTCCTCCTCTTCCTCCCTCTCCCCTCTCCTCCCTTCCTCCCCTCTCTCCCTCCTGATCACAACAACCACATTATGTGAAAATCTTGATCGTGACAAGAGCATTATATTGACAGTGTACAATGTAATAATATTGCTGCTGTTTTTGGGTATTAAGGCCACTATACTTTTGTCAGAGTGTAAGAGAGGAACATGGGCATCATTAGTGACTAGTGTTAGGGTAGAATGATGGTATGTAGAGATCTATTCAGGACCCTCTGACTAAAGGACACCTCTCTATAAAAGACACTTGGTTCTACCATATACCAATACATTAGTGTATTGTATTATCTCAGGATAAAGGACACCTCTCTATAAAGGACACTTGGTTCTTGACCTCTTAATAAAGGACACTTGGTTCTTGATCTCTTCACAGACGACAGAGCCTTCAACGTACGAAGCTGGACATTTCTTCACTTACTGATGAGTTGTATTGAAGATCACTGACTCCGCCTTCTCCTGAAGTTACGTAACCCTCCGAGTGGGCGTGGTTTGTCTGTCTGTGATAGTGGGCGGAGCCACTGGCCTCGTCTCCGAGTGTCATGGGGGAGAAGGCCTGGGACGACGGCGTTAGGGCGGAGTCACCCGATAGGCTGGCCCCGCCCACTGGATCTGGCTCTCGGACATAACGAGGCACGTACTCAAAGTCTAGAATTACCTGTAATGAGAGGGACGGGGAGGAAGAGAGAGAAAGAGGGGGGAACTCGAATAAAATTATTCCCGATGCCAAATTTGACTAATTGATCATTACGATATGAGAGTCTTATTAGTAAGGATCACGGAAAGAGGAAGAGGGAGGAAGAGGGAGAGGGGAGAGGGAGAGGGGAGAGGGAGGGAGGAGAGGGAGGGAGGAGAGGGAGAGGGGAGAGGAAGGGGGGAGAGGGAGAGAAGAATGCCAGTCCATAATGAAGTGTCCCCAGGGAGCTCATGTTGAATGTTGACTCTACCATTCCAACAGGTTGCTGAATCGAAGCGACACTTCATACATACCAAACTGTGTGTCAGTATTCTCTCACTGTGTTATTGGCGAGCGGGAGTGAGCTTCATTACGCGCTTCTTTTTTTCCAATTTTTTCCACATGTGCTACCTGCGCATGCGTCAGGATAGCGCGCTTCTACATGCTGCTATATATGATGGCTCGTGCAGATACAGGAGATTGTGTTCTCGCTCCCACTCGCCAAGAATGCCATGCATTTACCTACTAGTAATTACTGTAGGCAGGGAAGAAGATCCCCAGAACTGCACTGAGTCTGGCCTCTTCATCAGTGGAGGGGTCTACCCACAGAACGAGGAGTCTGGCGAGCAGAATACTCTTAACACAACCTGGTAGTATATTTCTCTTAATCGAACTGCAATACAGGATACAGTGGGACCATCAGAACTTCCTTCTATAGACCAGGCATACTCTATTCTAGAATTGAAGCGGTTTCGTATTTTTGGTGTCCATTATAAGACATTCCACTGTATAAACCCAACTCCTATATAAAACTGCTCTATACTATAATATTATAGCAGTAATTATGGTATTGAGCACGGGAGCCGTAACAGCTCGTAGCAGTAGGCAGAACTTATCGACCATACGACCCAGTGAACAACGTCAATATCTAGTCCATACAACAGCATTACCCCAACAGCAAAAAGCCCTCACTATGGTTATAATCAGATGCCCACATCTGGCAGTGACTAAGTTTCACATTCAGATTTCGGTAGAGATACATTTGGGTAACAAACAGCCTATTGTTCCAACTTCTGCTAATAACACCTCGATTGGGCCGATGGTTGCTAAATCTCTGGGTACTCGGGAACAGGACACACAGTTTTTGGTCTGTCTTTGTGTAGGTAGTATGCTAGTACAGATCTCCATAAAGTCTGAATCTCATCTCCAAAAGTTTGTGGGGAAGGATTAGTAGGAGAAGATTAATGGACACCTCTCTATATTAGACACAGGCTTTGCTCTACTGAACCTCTGAATAAACGACCCCTCTAGTATCATTTTCATGGTCCCCACAGTGTGCCTTCTGTCAGAGTGTCAGGTGATAGTCACATGACCACAGTAAACTGAGTTAGCCCAGAATGAGATAGTTATATAGGAGGGTGAAATGAGATAAGGAGTTTCAAATGACGTAATCTCATTGCCACATGATCTTATATTGACACTATATAGTTCATCATTGTATGGTGAAAGTGAGTGTGGTCTTGGTAAGGCACTACCCAAAGATGGAGAGAGGGAATGAGAGGAGAGGGAGGGAGAGGAGAGTGAGGGAGAGGAGAGAGAGGGAGGGCGAGAAAGACAAGAGCATGTCTGTATTGCTAGTGAGAGAGACTCCACTGTTGCCTGGACAACCAGGGAGGAATTTGGCATTCCCCATATTGTGGATATAGAAACCTGCCTGAATGCATTCTTCAAACAAGGCTGTTGACATTCCTTACTCTTAATGACCGTCCCTTGTGTAAATACCGCACCGTTTGAATAGCTAAGATGAAGGAGAGAGAGAGAGAGGAGAGAGAGAGACACTCACCACTTCTCTGTCCTCCAAAACCTCGGCCACCTCATCATCTTGGTCCACAAAGGACCCGGTGTCAGCTAATCTCAGACTTCGTACCTCGATTACATCATCTGGATCCTGGATGGGGGCGTGGCCCAAGTACAAATGAGGAATTTTGTATCAAGTGCGATAAAAAACACGGCAGCCCTCTATCAAACTATAATATGAGTGAGCATACTTAACAATTGAGACGACAATTAGTCTTTCGCTCTCTCTTTAGATTATTAAAAGCAACACATACTACAACAAACGATATGAAATTTTCAATCTAGTTACATTGCTTTAGACATTGCTAATTAATGGTCTCAGCATTTCCACACACACACACACACACACACTCTCTCTCTCTTCCCTCTCTCTCTCTCTCTCTCTCTCTCTCTCCTTGAAGCATTAGTAGGCATTAGTGTACGACGCGTCAAAACAGGATCATGTTTCTGGGGCAGATGTAGTAGGTCTGTGGGAGTGGACATGTTGATATAGTTCACTCACACACTCCCTTCTCTGCCACACCGCCGGACCATGGGAGCAGAGCTGACTGTGTGACATACAGCACTGGAGTTCTAGCCTTTGTCTTGTGTTGTGATGCACAATTTATGCTGAGGCTATACACTTCCCTTAGGGTATATAGAGCACTCTGCCTATACAGAGAGCAGAGTGTCGTGGGTTCAAAACCCACCATGGAGGGCTATTTCTTCCTCTAGGTGTAGTTGCTTTTGTCTTGAAATCTCGTGACTGACACATGAGGTATATACATGTACATTATAGACAGAGAGAGAGAGAGAGAGAAAGGAGAGAGGGGGAGGAAGGAGGATGTGTGTGCCTTTTCACTGGAAGCAAGTGAGCGTAACCGGTTGATTGTAACAGTTCAAGCACGGGACACTTTGTCAGAGGGAAAATTAATCAGTTAGCAACTACTAATACTGGGAACTCTAACATATGATAATCTTTAACCGTCACTTCATATGTAGGACAGTAGGCAGGTGTAGACTTACACTAGTGTGTGTGTGATTTACCAGTAGCTCTAAGAATGTTTCAATGCTGCACAATTTGTAGGCGCAAGTGGCTGGAATGAATAAGTTTTCAACATGACAATTGGTGCTAAAGTCAAAATAATGTAGCGACTGCGAAAATACCGCCGCCCTCTATGGTGCACCGGCTGTACATTTACCACATTTTGTGTCACTAACAACTTCACAAGCTATTCACAAACAGTGTTTTCCTAGAGGTGTTGGAAGTGCGACTACAGCTCGTGTCAGTGGGCTAGTGCGACTACAGCATAGTTGTTTGATTCATGTCAATAAAAGATAAAAGCAGTCACTCATTGATTAAAGTTCAGTTTCATGGTATGATGTACTTGACAACAGCATCTTGCGGACGGAATGAAAGGGAAAGTTTTTGCTACGGCTCCGTATCACACACTTTCACACAATATAGCTAACTACACACAGACCCAAATGACACTACATGGGTCAGTACTAGCTACAGCCTCTACAACAGTGTTTGTCTGTACTCTGCAAATGAGGACTTTCTGCCCTGTCATTGGCAACAATAGTAACAAAACTGCAGAGTGTCGCTGTACTCACAGCGCCCTCCCTAAGCACGCTCACGCATACGGCTAGTGAGCGCCGCACTGCGTATTCCGTTGCCTAATAGAGAGACCAGCATCTTGAACTGCGCACCTTTTTAGTCAGGGGGAGCCAAATCTAGATGTTGTTGTTATTGGCACAACGCACGAATCACCCACTCAACTGTGCTCGCTGCGTTGGAGCACCTCTCGAGCAGCTATTGATGTCTCTCTACAGCTGAGAAGCCAGTCCACGCCTTGCTCTGGGGAGCTAGAAAGACAGGCTGAGCTGCAAAACGGAGGCTCCCGCGCGACCAGGTGCGGTTTGTTTACTCGGCGGTCCCCGCGAAGAAGCCTTAGCTGTAGCTCCCTACAAAAACCGAGTTCCCAGCGTAGCTACGGTAGGCATGCAGAAATAAGCACCGCCAGGCAGCGTTTGGCGTAGCTAGAAATGCAAAGAACGGCTTCTGTGCATGGACGTCGTAACCACAGAACTACCCGATCCCAGAAGATAGCTACGCGTATCTGGTGTGAGATAGCTGGTTGTTCCTGCGCTCACCTTGTCCACGACTTTCTTGAAGCGCAGAATGGCCTTCTGAATGAGCTCCCCTACGGTCAGGTGTCCGTCTCCGCACGGGACCAGTATTGGTGTAGAGTTGAACACAACTTGAATCCGCATCTCCCTGGCCTCTCCTCTCTCTCTCTCTGTCTTTAGCGATAGGCAAACATCTCTCGTCTGTCGGCTACTGCTAGTCTAGTCTACACACTCCCCCTCCTTCCCCACTTCGCTTGGCATGCTCGCGGTTCTGCGATTCTGGGGGAGTGCCGCTCGGCAACATAGTCTCGGCGAACACGAGGGTATACGGAGCAAGTGCACGTAAACAATGTAGAGTGGGCAGGGCTCGTAAAGTGGGCGTGTCAGGTATGCATGAGGCGTGGCTGGTTTTTATTGCGCATGCACAGATTTATCAGGGGGCGTGTGCGGAATTCGGCTTTCACAAAAGCCAAAGAAAAAGCTTCATCTGTTGCGTACGGTGCGCTTTCCGTGACAATCGAGTTTACTTAGTGGGACGAGGACGTTTGTTTTACCGAAAGAGAAGGACTCGGGGAACATGCGGTGCATGAGCAAATGCGTGGTGAACCGCTCGACCAGAGTGTACACCGTTCTTCTCGGAGGGATAACATTCGGCTTCGTTCTCTCGACGCTGATACAAAACCTCAGTTTATCCGAATTCGGGAAGAGTGCGGGATGGACCGCGGACTACCCTTACGCCGTAGTTCGCGGCGGACGAGCCAGTTTCTCAAACTTGCCAGCCGCAGCTCAGCAACAGCCGGACGAGGAGCAGATAGACATCGGAGGATACTACGATTATGAGAGATTGGTGTTGCTGCAGGAGGAAAAGGAGGGGCAACGAGAGGGAGAGGAAAGGAACGAGAGAAAGGAGTTCGTTCCACAGGCGCAACAGCAGCAGATCGCTAGCGATGCGCTCTCGGACAAGATGAAACGGAGAGAGTACGTCAAGGAGGGTTGGCAGGGACGTAACGTCAGAGAAACGATGGAGGGAAACCCGGCCATCAGGCTCTCTGACGAGCTGGCGACGCGGAGAACGCTCCTGGTGGCCGTCATCACGAGCATAAACAAGCTCATGTCCCAAACACTAGCAGTGCAGGGTACCTGGGCCCAAGAAGCCAGTCACGTGATATACTTCACAGGGGAAGTGAAAAACCTTCCTCACTTGCCTCATGGTATGGTCGTAGTCCAACTGGAGGGTTTGGACGATAAGCAGGCCGGCTGGGAGCTAAAAGAACTCTCCGTTTTAAACTACATCTCCATAAATTACCTGGAGAACACTGATTGGGTGCTGATTGTAGGGGACGAGACGTATGTGTCCCCCGAGCCGCTAGAAATGGAACTGAACAAGTACGATGCATCCATGTCGGTGTACCTTGGTCGTCCGCAGGAGGGAGAGGGAGGAGAGGGGGAGGAGGGAGGGGAGAAGGAGGGAGGGGGAGCGGCGGACAAACTGTGTAACTCTGCGTCGGGTGTCGTCTACAGTCGAGGTTTTCTCGAGCAGCTGAAGCCATATCTCCCAGTGTGTTGGCCTGGAAACGGCGGGGAAATGAAGGGGCTCAGTGGATGTATCAGTGTTATGGGCCTCAAGTGCACTGCCGCTGAACAGGTGAGCCTCAGTATTATCCCACTCTGAAATCTGTCTATGTTTTTTAAAGCTACCTGAGAAGTTTATTTACCTATCTGACAATTTGCGTATACCTCTGACCGTTATCTCTGTGTACGTGTATCTATAAAGGTTTTTACAGCTAAAAGTAACCTTACCTTCCGAGAGTGGTTTACCCCCACTATCAGTGCTGTTCCATCCTTTAGCTTGTCTGAACCACTGAACCGCTGGATATGGGTCAGCTCAGTAACATAATGGTATGATTTGTCTATAGTACGTAAGGCTGGTATTGTTCCCCATTGTGCCCATTAGCCAGGGTTGGCCCTTGCCCAAGGAGTAATTATATGGGCCACTATGACAACCTGGAGGTTTGCTTTATATGACCAGCTCTTTCCACAATGCTTGTTTTTGCTGTCTGCCTCTCTAATGATGCCATTGAGTAGTAAACCATTTTGTGCTACTGACGGAGCAATACAATGCAGTAAGTGCAGGTCTGTCAAGAGCATTACTCATATAAAACACCAACCTTAGTGTTTTACCAACTGAACATGACTTATGCCTTGCGGTGTGTTGCAGACTTTAAACCCTGCCTACTGAGCTGGCCCTCAGTCTAACTGGACTGCAGAGTTTCAAGGGTCAAGGCCCTTCTGGGGCAGCTCTAAGAAGTGTTGTCTGGGTGTAGTTGATTTGTTTGATATACAATTGCCTTTTGCGTGCATGGGGGTAAATTATTGACGAGCAAAACTAGTCTAACTTAGCCGTCTGAATGGCTGGATTCATGTTACCCAGGAGCTGTCACACATAGCATTATAGTCTGCGTATTTCTAAGTATTTGCCATGTATTTGCAGTGCCCGGGTTGTTGTTAACTCTCACGCTCACTCGCCATTTGCCAGAATTGTGTTGCTAAGTAATTGAGATGACCAGGAAGAGGTATCTACAGCTGCATTCAGCTGGTAGATCCCCAGGAGGCCTATGGTCTGATATATACCCTGTGGGGGAAGAACAAAGAGATGAGGCTTATTGTTACTTGACCTACAATTAACTAAGGCAGGTGTATGACACCTGGTAGTCTCTGCCCTCCCATACCCACTGGTGTATCATACCATATCTGGCACATTTCTCTAGTGACTGGAACCCCATAACATCATCTGGAGGGCCTGGGGAAAACTATACAGTGGTAGGCAGATAGACACAATATGGAAACAGGAGTCCCTTATGTTGTATAGATAGAGTCTTAACTCTAGTCTGTCTGTATGTGGGGACGGTGTTTCTTTGTAAAGTTGTGGGTATTTGTTCACAGTTTGTTGCCATGTTGGTATGTGTAACCTTACAGCTCATGTGGCTGTTGAAATGACATCAAATGGCTTGTTTCTAGTCTCCCATGTCTCCATTGACTATTGTCTACACTACACTAGATAGTTGTCCCATACATCTTTGTTGTACCGGCAGAGTTGCATACATACGTAAATAGAAGGCAGCAGACCCGTCGTTCCAATAATGCACAATGTGTATGTGACTTTGTTTCATCAGTGAACCTGTGTTGTGTATGTACTGTGGTTGACTAGGGACTAAGGCTCCATAATTATGTCACATTGCCTCGCCGCGCCGTGGCTGGCCTGCTGTGTGGCCGCGACGGGATAGAACCCATGCCGCACCACACGATGTGGGACGACACTAGGAGGCAATGACACATATTGCGCATCTAGCCTAAGACGTTGACAGGTGGCAGTTTACGTTGCTAAAGGCATTGTTTGTGTTTCGAGCGATTATTTACTGTTTTTGTTTTTCGTTTCCTCGCCTCCGCCTGTTTACACAGCAGGCCAGCGGTGGGCATGTGTGTTTGTCTTGTCTGTTTCAAGATTAAATTGCACCCACATTCACTCACATTGCAGTTGGCAACTGTAAAAACATGTTTTACACACATTTGTGAGTGAAAAGTAAGGTATAGTTTCACTACTTCCATGAAATTGTTAATGTCTTTGTTCACCAATACATGTAGTTAATTCGATTTAGTTTTAGCTTGTTGTTGAGAACACATTCTTGTGGGGTATAGTACCCATGAATATAATTGAGACCAGCCAAATGAGGTCTTATGAATGTAATCAGCAGGTCTCATGTGATAATGAGGACCTCCCATTACCCTTCCCTTCTCCCTCTCCCACCTCCCTCTTTCCATCTTCCTCTGGTTCATTTCCCTCTTGCCTCTTCCCTCCCCTTCCCTTTCCATCTTCCTCTTTCCACCTCCTGCCATAGGTGAAAGACCTGTTTGTCAATGATGCAAAGTCGCTAGTAGAATCTTCCGGATTGTTCCAGAACACAGAGCTATCCAAGGCTCTACTGGTGCACCCAGTCAAATACCCCAAATACATGTACCTCCTCCACAGTTTCTTCAAAGAAGTCGAGTACAACGCTTCTCTTGCTCGAGCACGCTCTCTCGTCCAGGTGATTAAAGACACTCACCCCTTTATTCCGTCTCATCTCCAGTCGAACTTTGAACCCACCAAGACTCCGCCTACGACCACACCCACCGAGGATACCACGCCCCCTCCATTAGCGACATCGTCTCTGGGTCCGTCGGTACAATCAAGCGAAGGAGTTGTCGTACGTCCAAGACACATTCCGAAAAACAAGTTTGAAATTAACAACTGGGAGTATTTCAACCAGACTCGACTCATGACGATATTTCACGAGTCTCCAGCAAGAGGCATTATTGGAGGGACGCGGGAAGAGGCCAGATTTGCTCTCACAAAGGCAATCTACCTCATTAACCAGGGGCGACCCCAGAAGGAGAGATACGTGTTTGACAAGCTTGAAAACGGGTATCATCGAGTGGATCCAATGAGAGGGAGTGAGTTTGTACTGGATTTCGTCTTTCGCAAGAGCTCCAATCACAACGTCAGAATCAAGAAAAGGGTTGGGATTCTCCGCCCTTTCCATGAGACGGTACTCCCCGTGGACACACCCGAGGTGCTACCAACTGTCAACTTTGTGACCGTTCTTTCGGGGCTCAGCGCTCGCCTGGAAACATTTCTCGCCAACTACGAGAGCAGCGTCCTGGTTCCCGGGGAGGACGCCACGCTCACCATCGTCTTGTTCGACGGACCAGATGTGGGGAAAGTTCGATCGGTCATCCAGTCGTACAAGACGCGCTATCGAGCGGCAAAGATCAACATTGTCGACGTGGAAGGAGAGTTTTCTCGCGGTGTCGGGCTCCACAAGGGAATTGAGGCACTAAAAGACGAAGACCTCGCGTTTATAGTGGACATTGACTTTGACATAGCCACCAGTTTCCTCCAGCGGTGCAGACTCAACGCGGTCCAGAGCAAACAAGTGTACTTCCCCATCTTCTTCAAACTCTACAACCCAGAGTTTGTTAGCCAGTATCACCGTGGCAACTCGTCGATGAGGATAGCGCGTCACACGGGCCACTGGGCGCACTATTCGTTTGGCATGTTGTGTATATTTGCCTCCGACTACCACAACGCTGGTGGGTTTGACAACTCCATGAAGGGCTGGGGAGAAGAAGACATCGATTTCATGAACCGAGTTCTCGGGAAAGGTCTGGAGATATTCAGAGCCCCGGACCCTGGGTTAATTCACAATTGGCACCGCAAGGTCTGCGATAAGGTTACCGTTAGCAACCCCGTGGCCTATGATCACTGTCTAATGTCAAAGGGGGAGAATTTAGCAGACAGAATTGAACTGGCACAATATGTGTTTGACAGCGAACTGAAGAAAGGAAATCTCTTATAGCAAACATTCTCTTAGGTTACATTATTTATTTTGAAATTCCATCACTCTGTGCCAAATTCTCACATTAATTATGTCAAAATCAAACGTTTGTGTTGCGCTTGCGTGACGCAATTACTACGTGTACGTTCCGACTCAAAAAATGGACGCCGCGGAGCCTCTGCTGGTGGGTATTGTGATCGGTGGTGTGTCTCTCCTGGGAGGCTACGTCCTGCGCAGACTGTCCGAACTACGAGCCCAGGAGGTGTCCTACCTACACCAAGTCCCCCAGTTCACGGACTTCGCTGCGTTGCGGCGTCACCTCAAAAACTCGCCCGAGCAGAGAGCCGACGTGTTGGTAGAGGGGCGGGTTGGGAAGTTGGGAGATGCGGCCCTCGTTTCGGAGAAGTCTGGCCTCGAGGGAGCTGCGCGGTTGGTCACCACAACTACCTACACCAAGGTCTACAACCAGGAGAGCGGGAAATGGCGGGAGATGTCCAACACGGTCGAAAACATGAAGGCCTCTCTCCCGTTCAAGTTAGAAGATCCATGCGGGGGCTCGGTGCGTGTCGAGGGGTCCACACGGCCGGCGGGTTCCGGGGCCTGCTCCAGCGAGTGTTCCAGGAGAAGAGAATCCCTGAACAGAGGAGTCTGGGTGACTTTGCCACGAACGTGGTCACCTTGAAAGAAATCCCAAACGGTTCTCTAACCCGAGACTATCTACTGCTGTTCAACGTCAGTCTTGCTGGGTTCGGCAGCGCCGTCCTTCAAAACCAATCCATGTTTAGTAGTGGCGAGGTAGTTTTTACACCGTCAGAAGTGGGACATAGTATTCGGGGGCTCATTTCACGCAACGAAATGATGGCAAGTGCAGTGAGAGATGGTATCAGTCGTCTTGCTGGTAGCTGGAGGAACTGTGTTGGTGTTTAGTCTCACACCACTTCTAGTGGGGCTGGTGAGGTACGCAAGGGAGGGGAGAACCCTATCAATTAGAGACAACGAGGCGGCAGATTCGTGATCTGCGATTGACTGTCTCACATTTCAGAGTATATAGGCTCAAACTATTTTTGTAGAAGTTTTGTTGTTCGTGTCACCATAGGAACAGTTTGTTTGGAAGACAATAGCACAATTCCAATTCTCACTAAAGCTGGACCACTAATTGTATATAATATGTATCCATGGTCTATAAAACGAACAGGAAATGCGGGGAAAAAATTGGCAATAATGTATCCTAGCTTGTCAGTTCAGAGAACTATAAATAGCTACCGGTTCGACAGCCTAAGGAGAGGCAGCGTTTCAGCGATCCCTCCTTCTTCCTTCTCCCCCTCTTCCTCCTCTCCCCCCTGCCCCTCATCTCCTCTCCCAGCAGCCAGCAGGTCACTCAGCGCTGTCTGCATGCCATGCATCTTGTCCTGTTCTTCCCCCAAAACGACAAAATCCCTATACTTGTCGTCTTCTCTACGTCTGTGGTGCCTTTTACTGGGCTTTGAGACTGTGACATCGAATCCAATTTCCCTACTGATTAGTCCAGTAATATCAATGGGACGTCCCATTGCCCGATTGGTCACCCAACCCTTTTGAGCTACCCTCCCCTCATAGCTGGAGAACAGGACTGGCCTGAAATAGATCAGCCCCTGTCCAGAACCGCGACTGCTGTCCCAGTTTTCAGTCTGGTGGTATCTCCGAGACACTAGGGAGGGCTGGGAGGCGACAAGTGGGGGAACCGTGGTCAAAAGACCCCACGAAACCTCGGCCACTTTGGCAGTGAACTTCTGTAGTTCAGTCTCCGCTGCTGACAGGCTCTCCTGTGCCCTCATCAACTCTCCGTGTACCTATATACAACAACAGAATATCTCAGCACTGGAACCTCCACAGGACACCTCTCATAAAGGACAATTTTCATGCTCCAAATGTTATTATTATAATTATATAAAGATTCTGCTGGTTTTTCTCCACAACTGTTTAGCCAGAGATTGCACTAAATTTTATTCAGAAATGAAGTCTATAAATAGCTGTCCTTAACGAAGAAAGGTGTCCTAAGTATATAACACTACAGGATTAAAGTACGTTCGCGCTGAGAATGCATGCGGAAATAGATAATGAGGAGGGCGGTACTATTCGCTCGTAGAAATGTATATATGGGATTATGCATAAAGTGTGTAGCGAAAAACTACGCAGCGGATTTGAACGGGGTAAGCACTGAACAAACCGGAGTGTGAAGCACTACATTTTGATACCAAGCGTGGCCGCATAGCTACGGTGCTAGAATCGAAAGTTATTCTAGATTTTCAAGGTGTATTCTCAGCTCGAACATACTTTAGCTCCAGTTTAAAATTCCTTTGACTGGGTTTGATTATCCATTTATAATGTATATGAACCTGGCTGGATATTTCTTCATGTTCAGGGATTTGTCTTAGCTGGGAAGAGTGTAACAGTAGACCATAGGCCCGGCATGCGTCATGTAGTGCCTCAGACTCAGTGACTGACATCTCTGAATTGGTGCAGACAGAGCCCACCTCTGAGAGAGACATCCGCATTCGATCCAGGACCCTTCCTTGACACCTCTCATGCACTATCTGAGGTGGAGAGACGAGGAGAGAGGGTATCATAACTAAGAACTCTTGCAGCAAAAACATTTGCAGATTTTATGACATGACATGATTCTTCGTGAATACTTCGGTGTACCACACAGGTCAAATGCATTATTTTTTGGGCGAAAGTTGCTGTCTCGCTTGTCACAAAAATTTGCGGTAGAGGAAGTCGCTCAACGTTTGTGAGCCAGCTGTAAATATTTGTGGATAGCTAGCTCATGCTCAGCAGCAAAGTTTAGCTGTGTCACGTGACTTGCCTGGAAGAGCTGACAGAGCATCTGCCTGGCCTCCCCTCTCTCCAGGCCGGCAGAGGACTGCAGGCTCGAGGCCAGATCCTCCACTTTACCCAGAAACAGAGAGTCGAAGGCGGCGCCGTGGTCCTCGTGTGTCCGTCCGCCGCACTGCCAGTCCCCTGTCTGTTTCACTACGTCGTAGCTCACGCTTTTCAACCTGCACACAACGAACGAGGCAAGCAAGGAAAGGAAGAAACGAGCTGGGAGCGTGCGGAAAACGCATTACCTGCGGATTTCTTCTCGCAAGTTGTCGCGAACACGCTTGCATTCGGGGTTGGTGCACCGGGTTCCTTTCTCCCCACCGCTCTTTCTTCTCTCCATTTTGATAGCAGGATGATGTCAGGGTATTCCCATCTGTTTGCCTAGCTAGCATTTTACAGCTGACGAAAAATGGCGGCTTCTCGGACGCCCAACAAGGTCGACAGAGCCAAAATTGTACCTCTGAAGAGAGGCGCAGGTTTTCGCCGTGCCTCGGGGAACATAGCGGCCATCGACTTCGGCACCAAGAACTGCTCCCTCGCCTACGTGACGGGGGGAGACACGGGTTTGGGGTTGGGCGGCCTCAACAAGTTGCGTCTCAACGGAACGCACACCCGCGTGCCGACGGCCGTCCTCCTGGACGGAGACAAACGGGTCGTGAAGTTCGGCTACGACGCAAGGGAGCGCTATTCTCATCTTGACGTCCGTGCGAGAGAAAACGCCTACTATTTCGACGGTATAAAAGTCGACCTCCAAAGAGACAAGGTAGACTACGTATGTAGATTCCGGACGTAGCTTTGCGCGCGTTGCACAAAACAACCGCTATTGAAAAGCACTCTCTCTGAAGTGAAGTGCAAACCCTCGGCGAACTGCGCATGAGCGGTATCGCTAATACTGTTTATGGGCTGGGCTATTGGCGTTTACCCGCGGTCTCCCGCTAGTAGCTCGCAGAGAATCTGACACGGGCTAGCTACGGTAGTAGATAGCATGCGGGAGTCGATACACGCCCTTCGCTGTGGCTTCTTGTGCCTCCAAGGTACACAGAGCAAGCGGATCAGGTTGAGGTGGAGCCAGCATGCATGAACATAAGATACTGCGTATATACGCATGCGCACCGCTTAATGATGGGTTGGGCCACGGAACTCGGTCCGCGACCGTGCCAGTTTGTCGCTCTCGAACGCAGTCGTTTCAGGAAAATCGCCTAATTGTGTTTCAGGTTCGCGTAGTTCTGAAGCCGTTGGTACCGCTCATTAGCCACCTCGTGGCCTGTAGTGCCAGAATAAGCGTCGACACACACACAGCTAGACGGCGGAACCCTCGCTGCGCATGCGCGCCGAGGGTTAATAATGAGAGAGACCAGTGTATACTCCTCCCCTGAAAAGAGATGACAGCTCTCTAATAATAACTCCATATTATACCTCTTTATGCACAGCATGTGAGTCGAGATGTGCCCGTGCGAGCACTGAATGGCAAACATCTCCGACTTGTGGAGGTGATAGCACAGATCCTGGGCTACCTGAAGAGAGAATTGATTGACAACCACCTCAGAAAGGCCGGCTACAATTTCACTGCCGAGGACTTCGACTGGGTGGTGACCGTCCCGGCAATATGGCTCGCCAGTGGCAAACAGATGATGAGATTAGCTTCCGTAATGGTGAGGGGAGGGGGAGGGAGGGGAAGGAAGGGAGTTTATACCGACACAGACGTAACTACCTCTGTATTATGATGTGTATTTCTGTCCGCAGGCTGGTCTGTGTTCAGAGGAGAATCCAGACCGGCTGTCGCTAGCTCTGGAACCCGAGTCTGGCGCCATCTACTGCCACGAGATGAGGAAACGAGGCCAGGTGGCTTACCCCACCCCACACCCAAACTCCACCCCCTCAACTCCCACCTCTTACTCCTACCTCATTGTCGACATTGGGGGTGGTACCGTCGATGTCTCCGCCCACAGAGTATCGACCACGCCCACCCTCAGCGTCGAGGAACTCCACCACCCCGACGGGAACGATTGGGGCGGACTACAAGTAAACTTAAAATTCTCGGAATTCCTGCAAAAATTGGTCGGCGATCGCAGATTTTCTCGCTACCTTCAAGTCAACGATGCAGATGCTAAAATCCTAAACCGGTTTGACGTCGACGAATTGATGAACGTCACGTTCGAGAGGGTGAAAAAGGCTTATTGTCGATCTCCGCGAGACGAGAGAGAAGAGGTTTTCGTAAAACTGCCAGACAGTTTTCTACAAGAATACGGAGAAGCCTTAGTGGCATCGCTGGAGGCTAAAACGAAGGAGCTGCGGATGGAAGGCCGCGAGAACGAAATAGTGACACTCAGGGACAGCATTCTGCGCATTCCGCCATCCAAAATGGAGCAGTTTCTTCAGCCGGCAGTGGACGGGATAACAGAGTGCATAGATGGTCTCCTAGCAACGCTATCAAACACGGGAGTCGAGATCAACACCATCTACTTGGTCGGGGGATTTGGAGGTTGTCACTACATCTACGAGTTGTTCACGGAGCGATACGGAGAGGGTAGGGGGATAATCGTTCCTCCTAACCCAGAGTTTGCCATCGTGGAGGGAGCTGTGCTGTTCCGAGCCAATCCCGGGATCGTCCGCTCGCGTAAGGCGGATGCCACGTACGGAAAGAGCGTCGTTAGGCATTTTGAGAGTTTCCACGACCCGAGATATCGACAGGGGGACCACTGCCACAACTTGTTTCAGACGATTGTGGGGAGAGGAGAGAGCATCAGACCAGACTGTCTGTACATGGCAGTCAGCAGACCTCTCTCTCTGGACCAGAAGAGAATGCACTTTGAGGTCTGTGTGTCATGTGACACTCACATGATTTATCATGTGTCATGTGTCATGAATCATATATTGCTAAAATGACAAACAGATTGCTTTTGGCGTTGTCCAAACTCCTCAAGCAAAATTGTCAGAGTTTTTTCATAATAATAATACAGTGCACATAGTGTCAAGTGACCTCATCTGAATCCTCTCTCATTGTGTTATAAAGGTGTTCAGTTCCGTGAAGAAAGCGGAGGAGTTGTGGTACACGAGAGACGAGGGGGTGGTTCAGATAGGAGAGCTGGTCCTGGAGCTGCCAGAGGTGGGGAGGACGACGAGGGACAGAGAGGTGAAGGTCTTCTTTGACTTCTCTCACACAGAGATACAGGTATATAGCCGCCTTCTCTGCTTTCTCATTCTCTGGACAATGAATGGAAGAAGCATGTATATATAATACCCTCAAAAGTAAATTTTATGTGTAGGATTAAACTGCTGATTTGCCTCAAAGCTCCGGTCTAGTTTACAAAAAATTGTGAAGGCATAAAATTCATGGAAATACATGTAACTCCCACTGTCAGTGATACATTGTACACTGTTCACTGCTTTGTAGCAAGATTCTTTAGGTTTACTCTGGTGGTCTTCTCTGCAAGTTTTTTGGGTGTGCTCCATTAATTGTACAATAGAACAAACTACATGCATGAACACAAGGTTTTTGTCGCTAGTTTGCCACTTTCCCCCTGAAATGTTTCTGGCACACACACACACACACACACACACACGCAGGTGAGGGCATGTGAAAAGAGCTCTAAAGCTGAAGTGAAAGCAGTTCTGGATTTCCTGTCTGCGATTCCTCCTGGACAACGGAGGAAGGTCAAAGTTCAGGAGGAACGAGTTGAAGAGAGGGATGGGGATCAGAAACATGAGGATGAAGAGGAGAACAATGAGGGAGAGAGGGGAGTAGAGAGAGGGGATGGTGAACTATGTGACCTGAATGCATAAACTTATAGCGTGTCACTTTCTCAACTTTTTCACCGATTATTCAGTATACCAAACGTGTAAGGGATCTACCTAACTATTTTGACCGTTGCATCATAATTTGTTGTTAATTGTACAAAAGAACACAGAGGGTCAGTATTTCTAGCAATAAGTGGGTGTGGCTGGTGGGCGGAGTCTATGCGAGTGTTCTTCCTCCTCTGCTGAAGGTGTGGGTACTGCTCCGGACCTCATCCAGGAAGCTAAGGGGGAAGAGAGTTTCAAGAAACAGAGCCGGCAGATTATGTACACTGTTGACAGAACACTGTACAACATGGCCGACTTTCAAGGCACTAGTGTTCACTGATGGTGGTTCATAAATTAAGACAAGCAACACACATGTGCCACGTTACACTGTTTTATAAGTGTGCAAGTGTGCTGGCAAAGGAGAATTATAAGGCAAGATTATCTGAACGTCAGGAAAAGGAATTAGGGTACTATACTGACTAGAGGTTATTGCTGTACTCAAGATTAAGGATTATCTGTGAATAATTAGGATGACTATATGTGCCATGAAAAGTTGCAACAAGAAAAGAATTACAACACACAGGTACTGGTCATGCACCTCTGAGTATTGTGGATGGTAGATCCTCCCAGGACTATCCTCACTCCTGGCATACTCCTGTTGGCATTGGCAACCGCCAGAGCCTCTGCATACGTGGCCCCGCCCACTATGAACACTATCACATCTTGGAGACGGGCCCTGCACGAAACATTACATCACAACTATTACAAGGGGAAGCCCCCCATTAAAACCCGTTAGACAACGTATACAGCGGGACCTCTTAAACGACACTCCAAATAAAGCACACCTATCCACTTGTTTTTATCTTGCGTTATCTTTAAAATGTACAGGGGATGTCTATCCTTTATATCCTCTCTTTGTAGGTTAGAAAATGGATGTTTTGAAGTTTGTCCAATATTGAGAGGAGGTTGTAATGGTGTCCTATATTACTGGGAGTGTCCTCTATTCAGAGGTTCAACAGCATGACCTTCGAACTCCCTTCAAAACAGAGAGGTTGTTATAATGGTGTCCTATATATTACTGGGAGTGTCCTCTATTCAGAGGTTCCACTGTAATGATAGAGATGATGTGGACTGACTTGTCGGCCAGTCTGAACTCCCCGCAGTAAGGGATAGTCAGTCTCACTCAGCTTCTCTCTCACCAGCTGCTCCAGGGTGTCCACCAGGAGAGGCTTGTGCCTCGTGTACACATTCTCCACTCCCTGTACGTGGAATGGAATGGAGACACGGAACAGAGTCACACGTGGAATGGAATAGAGACACGAGACGAAATCAAGAATCAAGGACCCATACATACGTAGGTGAACGAATGATCAATCGCAAAGCACCGAAGAATGGCTGTGGATACTGCGGCGAAATTCAGACATTCGTGCAGAAGAAAATGGTTATAAAGTGCAGATTCAAAAATTGATTGATAACCTGTAGTTAGAGGCATTTGTCATCGTGCAACAATGCACACTTACATACACTGTATATACCTTTAGTCCTTTGGTGAAGAATTTCTTGGTCCTTGCGAGGGTACCTTGTGACTCGAACAGCTCCAGGCCTCTCTTTGCCTTACCACTGTGTTCTAGCAGAGCCCTCATAGTCTGTATATTGGGGAGGGAGGGAGGGAGGGGAAAGATAGAGAGGATTAGTGGAGGGGAATGGAGGGGAAAGATAGAGAGGATTAGTGGAGTGGAATGGAGGGGAAACAGAGATGGGTACTGATTAAGAGAGGAGAGATAAAGAAGTCCAGTGCAGCTGCTTGGAGGCCACACCCACCCTCTTATCCTCCTCGGTGTGTCCGCGAGAAACGAGGAGTCTTTCGACCTTTGTGAGGTCACCTTTCGTCGACCCCTCGTACCTCAGGCAGTAGAGGAGACCGAGTCTCAGACTGTCCATTAGTCTCACTTTTGGATCCGACATTAGCTCTTCCAGCGTCTGGGAGGAAGGCAGGGAGGGAGGGAGAGAGGAGGGAGAAGAGAGAAAGACGTGCGTTTGCACAGCTCATGTTAGACTGAGCCAGAAATCTGGTAGAATGCAACACATTGAACCACTGAAGAGAGGAGAGAATGGAGAACAGAGGAGATGAGATATACCTGAACGACGTTGCGGTCGCTACTGGTTACAATGTCCTGCTCGCACTCGGACACGCCCATCAGGCTGTGCTCGGAGACGATACGAGACAATTCGCCCACCACGGCCACGTGTTTCGACACTGCTCCAGACAGCTTCTTGAACTCCGGGTAGTTCTCTATGAACGCCTGCAACAAGCCATCCGCGTGTCCTGAAACGCTGTCCTGTAACAATACACTGTCCTACTGACCTTCATGTCAGCGATGGACTCCAGTTTCTCTCGGTGTTTGTTCTTGGATTGATACGTCTCCACCAGTGACTTTATGTTGGCGCCAATCTCTCCGAAATTGAGGTACATGTTCTGGCGTGGGGGAGGGGAGAACACGTAATGAAGATATCAAGATGTACATAATTATGTAGATCTCGTGAAAAATGTGAGGTTTACAAGACATACATTACATTCATTTTGCACGTTTAATAGAAGCAAAATAATTTTAGTGGATGTTGTAAAAATTTTCATCCAAATTTTTTTTATGAAACCAGGGGAAAAGACTAGATGAGGTTTAATATCACAACTTGAAACTTGTACCTCTCTGAAGAACTCGTCGTGCTCTGGAGACAAAACCACCTCCTGTGAGGAGAGAGTCACATGACTGAGAGCAGGGCTCTTGTGAATCACATGATCAAGAGTAGGGATCATGTGAGTCACATGACCCACATACCTGCATGTCTCTGATGCCAGCAACTCCAGACAGGTCGACTCTGTGGTTCTTTATTCCCAGGAGCTCGTGTACCATTGCCTGGTAGGTCCACTGAGTGGATTGAATAGCAGGTCCACTGAGTGGATTGAATAGCAATCTACTGGTAGGTCCACTGGGTGGATTGAATGGCAATCTACTGGTAGGTCCACTGAGTGGATTGAATGGCAATCTACTGGTAGGTCCACTGAGTGGATTGAATGGCAATCTACTGGTAGGTCCACTGAGTGGATTGAATAGCAATCTACTGGTAGGTCCACTGAGTGGATTGAAATAGCAGGTCCACTGAGTGGATTGAATGGCAATCTACTGGTAGGTCCACTGAGTGGATTGAATGGCAATCTACTGGTAGGTCCACTGAGTGGATTGAATGCAATTACTGGTAGGCCACTGAGTGGATTGAATGGCAATCTACTGGTAGGTCCACTGAGTGGATTGAATGGCAATCTACTGGTAGGTCCACTGAGTGGATTGAAATGAGCAATCACTGGTAGGTCCACTGAGTGGATTGAATGGCAATCTACTGGTAGGTCCACTGAGTGGATTGAATGGCAATCTACTGGTAGGTCCACTGAGTGGATTGAATAGCAATCTACTGGTAGGTCCACTGAGTGGATTGAATAGCAATCTACTGGTACTGGTGTCAACTAACAAAAATTTCAACGGTCTGTTAACTGATCACTATATTTACATCATACTATGTGGTGACCTACAATTATAGTACGTTTGCAGCCTCATTAACGCACTGGTAGTCAGTGTGTGCATGAGTGAGTTTGTGAATACGTTTGACATGTGTTACCTGGTTGAGTAGGGGGGTGATGGGGTCGTCACGGCGATCCAGGATGAGGAGAATGGGAGGAACGTCGTGAGAGAAATCAAACAGTTCTCGTTCCCTAGCAACCGTCCTCTGGAGGGCCGGACAGAGGAAGAGTGTATGTGATAGCTCAACCAGTATACTCTGTTTAATACATAAGCCCTCTATAGACGTTTTAAAAATGGGTGTGGCACTATATTACGTAATACAATGCCACGCCCATTTGATATAAAAGAATCTACCCCTGTCAACTAAATCAAATCAACTATCATTCTGAAAAATTATACTGTGCTCTGTGCATTGTAACTGGCATTACATTGTAATACACAATAAACAGAGCATTGGTCTATTTAACACACCAAAGTGTAGAAACAGTAGGTGGACGATACTTACATGTAGCTCATCAGCCAATCTCTTGCAGACATTGGAGGAAAGGGAATATCTAGAGAGAGAGAGAAGCAGATAAAATATGCAATGTGTCTGGCAGTCTACATCGTCTTTACAATCCATATCTTCTTACCACAGACAACTTATTTTACTGAAGCTTTATCTATATTAATTCCTTTCTTTCATTCGCCTTTAACGGTTTTGCATTTCTTTAAAGAACATGAGAGAAAGAAAAGACAAACCAACTATGACTATAGCTGGAGTAAGGAATGGAAAACATTCCCTAACCCCAGCCACTATATACCTCACCTGATAAGTGGTTTCTTCCTCAGAGCCAAGAGAACGGAAGTGAGACCGTCGCAGATCCTCACGTAGATTTCTCTCTTCCATATCATGCCAGGATCACAGCACACTGGCTGACTCAGTGAGAACAGGTGAGGACCTACTGCCAGATAGTCTGCATAGAACTCCTGGTGAGAGAGAGAGGGAAGAGAGGGAAGAGAGGGAAGAGAGGGAAGAGAGGGAAGAGAGGGAAGAGAGGGAAGAGAGGGAAGAGAGGGAAGAGAGGGAAGAGAGGGAAGAGAGGGAAGAGAGGGAAGAGAGGGAAGAGAGGGAAGAGAGGGAAGAGAGGAGAAGAGAAGAGGAGGGCAAGAGAGGGAGAAGGGCACAGAGGTAAGAAGGGAGAGAGGGAAGGAGGAAGAGAGGGAACAGGGCAGAGAGGAGAGAGGAAAAGAGACCTTCAGAAAACAATTTGAAACTGAATGTGATGCTTATGAAGAAGAAATGTCAGTCGAGGGGTGATATAGGAAAAGACGAAAGTTCGGAGCGAGATACACAGAGAAAGAGTAATTCTCCAGCTATATTTTTGAGGCAATTGAAATAATCATACACATCACAAAAATAGTGGGATTGGGTGATTGATATTGCGCCATTTACAACATTTCTGTACACCACCAATGAAACATGGAACTAGACATAATACTGATCACAATACCTTCATTTCTCTAACAGACTCAAGTTGGTCTGCGTCAGCAATGGTCTTGAGGGCACGTCGGTCCAGCATGTTGGAGAAATCTGACGGAAGAGGAATGAAGAAAGAGAACAGTGGACAACTATACCTCGGGACCATTGAAAGTGACTATATTAGTTCAGAGTGTCCCTTGCTTCAGAGGTTTATAGAACTTCGCAATCGTTACACTAAAAATATTGGTATGTGGTAGAACCAAGTGTCCTTTATAGAGAGGTGTTCTGATTTAGAGACTCCCTTTCCAGAGGTTTTGTGCCATACAGTATTATAGGAAGTGGTATAGTAGAGAGAGTGTTAATTATCCTCAGAGACGAGAGAATATATACAGTTAGGGAGGAGGTGGGTGAATGGACCTACAGACAAAGTAGCTGTTGTACTTTGGACTTTAGTTCATCTGACAGACATTCAATGTTATCCTGTGGCAGCGAGAGAGAGAGAGAGGGAGATGAATTGGAGGAGAGAGAGAGGGGGAGATGTATTGGAGGAGAGAGAGAGAGGGAGACGAATTAGAGGAGAGAGAGGGAGGGCGATGAATTAGAGGAGAGAGAGGGAGGAGAATGAGGGAGAGTATGTAGACCTGGGTGGGTCTGAGGAAGCAGATGGCATTGAGTGTTTCATTGACTCCCTCCCTTTGTTGGTGAGCAGCTCAAACAGGTAGACCTCTTTCTGGAGAATCTCTGACTGGGAGTACACCATACTCACCACCGATATCTGGAGAGAAAGAGGAGAGAGAGAGAGAGAGAGAGGTTTCTGCTGGCCCACTTCAGCAGACGTTAGCAACAGGATCTCCAACACTCTACTATGAACGTCCTATTTCCCACAGGGATTGATGTACTCACAGAACTACAGTCAATGTATTTAGAGCTAATTATCATTGTTTGTTGGCCTGTCATTCTCCCACTTGTTAATGAGGGGGACTTGTACATGCCATGGAGGATGACGATGTAAATAGAGTTGAGAGAGACGGAAAGACGTAAACTAAAGGTGGCCACGTAGCTCACACGACAAGAGGGTAACCGACGAGAGAGAGAGAAACAAAGAAAGTTCATGAAGAAGACTAACCGTCTCCTTGTCCATGACCAAGACCTTCATCCCGGCGCCGCTGTCCTTTATCATTTGAGTCACATACTGCTTCACCGCCTGCGAGAGATTCATGGCCGCCCGCCTCTTGCCGAATATCTACCACTTGTGTCTTTGGAGAGAGATAGAGAACCAAACTGTAGGACATGACAGGATGGGTTTTCGAATGACGTAATCGTTAAACGCCCGACTAAATTGGGGCGTGGTTAATAAGCAGCCCCGCCTCCATCGCTAGATGCGCGCCAATTAGAACTGAGACCGAGACTGCAGCTTGCGCTCCAAAGGTCAGATACGACACACAAGATCAACGGGTTCAATAGCTAACTCCACGTATATTATACATTCACTACATAATACAAGGTTATGGAGCCAGTTCAATGTGTGAGAGAGGTCCCTATAATAACAGAGTCTATTGTAACTACTGCTGCTGCAGAGCTGCCAACTTCTCCGCGTTTCTCTCCACATCTTCTATGGCACCGACCATGTAGAACGCTACTTCTGGTATGTCATCCAGTTCACCTGCAGCAGGGAGAGGAGAGAGAGAGAGAGAGAGAGGTGGCAGGGAGAAAGGGGACAGAACAAAAAGAACAATGGTGGTATGAACTATGCACAACGTTGCAATAGTGATGATCACAGAGGTATGGTAGTCACTCACCATCAATTATCCTCTTGAAACCAGAAATGGTAGACTGAAGAAAGAGAGAGATGTTACAAGTGAAAGAGGGACTCAATCGATTACTGCATCGCATGAATCTTTCGACAGAAAACTGACTAGTTTGAGATTTGTGTGTGCAAAGGATTTCTCTACTAAAGTTACAGGGAGAGTATTTTCATTGACCCCCTGCGAAGTTTAGAATTGCAGAACAAGCAATCTGCAACATAAGCCTTGCACATTACTGAAGTTTTATTTTTCAAATGTTCCTGTTGTATGTACATGTGATGGGGGAGTGAGGTGCTCAGACAGCCAAGGGTTGTCTCATCAGACACTCAGAGACTCTAGTTCCATTTACTTCCTCACTGCACCTCAATTTCTACCAGCTTCTACACCTCTTTTCTATTTCAACGTTCAGTCCTTTTCAGAGTGGACATTTCCACTCAATTTGCTAGAAACAACTCTGCGTCTTATTGAACACTATCTGCAATATTTGCCTCCCTTCTTCCCAAACCATTCCAGAAAAGGAAACTTCCTCTAGTCTCGCAAACCAGACCCTCGTCCGTGTGAGGGTCTGGTTTGCGAGACTAAACTCCCTCCATGCCTTATTTTTGTCTTTATCTTGTTCTCCCACACACACACACATTCTCTCTCTCCCACTGCAGTATACACACTCACTCACCTGGAGGTCGACTAGTTTCCCCTTCTTTGCCCGTGAACACCTCTGCCACCTGGAAAGGCTGTGAGAGGAATCTCATTATCTTGCGGGCTCTGGACACCGTCAGTTTATCATCTTCTGACAGTTCGTCCATTCCCAGGATGGCTATGATGTCCTGTAGCGACCGGTAGTCCTGGGAGAGAGAAAGGGAACAGGGGTATATTGTCTCTGATTTGCAGCTTATAAAGCAAAATCTCAAACTTACAACAATGCTTCTCTAAATTTTAGCATCTTTACGTATGAGTTATAGTGGATCAGAAAAACGAATGATGTAATCATTAATTCAGGTGAAACACGGAACACCATCATCTCCACTCCTATTTATATACCTCGCCAGTCAACTAGGATTTATCTGGTATCTGGTTCTACATCGTAATGTATGTCAAATTTCGAGGAGTATAATGTGAGACTTTTTGCAGCAAAATAATGCTTATGAAACGCAAAAGTGTTTATGCAAAACAGAAAAACTGCTGCTTTGGTGTGCCTATTATTCAGAGGTTCCACTGTAGACCAATAAATTCCCTCCCTCCCCTCCCTCCTCCCCCCTCAGAGTCATACCTGGAGGATCTTCTGAACGCCTCTGGCCACATTATAGTGTTCCTCTCCCACCACGTTGGGGTCCATGATACGAGAGGTCGAGTCCAGGGGATCCACCGCTGGATAGATTCCCAGCTCTGCCGTCAGAGAGAGACTGGTTATGTAATTACTATGACATCATCACAGTGAGAATTGATGTTGATAAAGAGATTACCAGCAAGCAAATAAATCAATTTGAGGTAAAACCTATTGTGCCACACAACTTGCAAAAATGTACTTTCATGTGTACTGTTGCACTACATGTGCTGATGTGCTGGGAGAGAGGAAATACTGCACACTCAGGGAACTTTTGCAAGACATGTGATCACTATATATGTGTACATACATTACACAGTTCCTATGACATCATTGCCCCGCCCACTCACCGGAGATGGCTCTGGAGAGGACAGTGGTGGCGTCCAAGTGAGCGAATGTGGTGGCAGGTGCAGGGTCAGTGAGGTCGTCGGCCGGCACGAACACTGCCTGCACCGAGGTGATGGAGCCTTTCTTTGTGGAGGTGATCCTCTCTTGCATGGTACCCATGTCGGTTGCCAGGGTCGGCTGGTAACCCACGGCAGACGGAATACGACCCAACAGAGCCGATACCTGAGGTAGGGGGATTACTCCAATTATAGCACACCAGCAAGGTTTGATGCACACTTTTCTAAGTAAAGCACACAAACAGTAAGTTCAGTCTACTAATGCACATCGGAATAGCTGGGGAAGAGAAAATACCCAAACTCTAACTAAAGCACACCCTCTACTCTAATTAGAGCACACTACAGTTCTAAATAGAGCCCACCCCAAACTGACCTCTGACCCTGCCTGAGTGAACCTGAAGATGTTGTCGATGAAGAGGAGCACATCTTTCCCCTCCTTGTCTCTGAAGTACTCGGCGACTGTCAGTCCCGTGAGGGCGACTCTGGCCCTGGCTCCTGGAGGCTCATTCATCTGTCCATACACCAGAGCCACCTGCAGCAGGGAACACACGTCTATATACCACTGAATCTGTTGGTAGCACTCTTAGATCAGGGGAAAGATGAGGACTCAGTACCCATGGTCAACAAAAGGAGAGACAGAGGATCAAATAAACATCATGAAACACTGTATCCTCGCAATTAAAGTTTACTGTAGAAAGCTGCCTTATACATTACGCTCCACAAACACACGAAGAGCAGCTACTAGAGTGTGTGCTCAGACAGAGATAAGGGTTGTCTCATCAACACATCAGAGACTCTAGTTCCATTGATGTAATCACTGCACACATCCCTTCTCCAAATAAAGCACACCAGTCGGTGTATATCTAATAAGTGCCCACCTTGGAAGTCACACACTCCAAATAAAGCTCACCACAGTGTGCCACGCTCTTAAGAGCTCGCTTTGGAAATACAACTCTTTGAATTGACGACTTCAATTACTTGCACACATCCTCTAAATAAAGTTCACCACACTCTAATAAGAGCCTACCTTGGAAGTGTCGTCCTTGAGACTGATGACTCCGCTCTCAATCATCTCGTGGTAGAGATCGTTCCCCTCTCTCGTCCTCTCCCCGACGCCAGCAAACACGGAGTAGCCTCCGTGAGCCTTGGAGACGTTGTTGATGAGTTCCTGGATGAGAACCGTCTTCCCTACTCCTGCACCGCCAAACAGTCCTGCAGGTACAGAGTTGTGTACAGTCTTGAAGTCATCGTGGTCAGCAAAAATAGCTCGCATGTCTTCCAATAGTCTTTGATCCACCCGTAAAAGTGCACCAGAACTGATGATCTACTGCAAAATGGAGGAGGCACCGCAAAGCACAGCAGAACAGAGGATCGCGACATGCAAAACACTAGGAAAACCACTGTCCGTGAGGAGTCTAACTCTGGCCCAGTGACTACTGTACTAGGATTGAGCTGACAAACACTCTAATCCCTCTAGAGAGGTCCCCACTGCTCACCAATCTTCCCTCCCTTGGCATAGGGAGCCAAGAGATCAACAACTTTGATTCCAGTCACCAGAATTTCCTGGTCAATATTCATGTCCACGAACTCTGGGGCTTCCTGATGGATGGAGGCATGTCTGTAGGGAGAGAAAGGGAGGGAGAGAGAAGGGAAGAGAGGGAGAGAGAAGGGAAGAGAGGGAGAGAGGAGGGAAGAGAGGGAGAGAGGAGGGAAGAGAGGGAGAGAGAAAAGCGTATGTTGGTGTGTACATTGACGGGTGAAGTAAGGTACAAGTTGGTTGTGTGAGCTGATAGAATCAGAAAGACTATGGAGGCTATTGGCAACAATGGACACCATACTGTAGACGAACACATGCCCCTTTGTGCTCATTCAGACACCATTCCCCTCTCCTCTTTCTCTGCCTTCCCCACACGTCTCCTCTTTTCTCCTTCTCCCTCTTATCTCTTTCCCCCTTCCTCCCCACTCTCCCCCATTTCCCAGATCTCACGTGTCACTCTCTATCGGCCCTCTCTCGTCCACACTCTCTCCAATGACATTCATGATCCGGCCCAGAGTGCACGGTCCAACAGGAATGCTGATGGAGGACCCAGTGTCGGTGCAGACGTTGCCACGGACGAGGCCCTCAGTACCGTCCATAGCAATACATCTCACTGTGTTCTCCCCTGTGACAAAGAGACAGAGAGTCTCATATCAGGCAAGGTAAGAGATGGCCAGAGGAAGGAGGGAAAGAAGACGCGTGTGTGTGTGTGGGGGAAGGGTTCTTTCATGACAAATATTAGGTCTAGAGAACAGGAAAAGGGTGAAAAAAGAGCAAGAATCTGGAACAAAGAGAACAGATATGACAAGAATTACTGTGAGAAGTAAAAAATGGTAGAAAGCAGAGCAGACCCCTGTTCTAACCGAGATGTTGAGAAACCTCCAGCACAAGTCTGGGCGATCGACCTTCGGCCTCAAGGGCGTTGAGGATTGGGGGAAGTCCCTCGTCAAATTGAACATCCACCACAGCTCCGATCACGGCAACCACGCGACCTTTGGCCACCGAGGCTGTCGCCTTGGTAGCGGTTGCCGTGGCAGCAGGTTTGGGCTGTGCATTGGAATAATGTCTTTGATGACCTGCGAGATCAGAGAAGGTGGGTTGCAAAAATACGGAGTTTTCACTAATGGAAAGATGTCGATCTTCTGGAACAAAAATACACTACAAAACGGGCGAAAACTAAATGAAGAGAGAGCACTGAGAATAAATAGGCACATGCGGTTGCAGCTGTACCCAGGAAAAAAATGGCGGCCGCGGCCCACCCCCCTCCCTGTTGATGGATTCCTCACCCCACGAGGCGGCAACGGGCGCTCTGACTGCAGGTCTCAGGCCAGACAGAGCCGCTCTGGCTCTCACGGCTCCGCACACCAAGCGGGGCAGTCTCCTGAACGCCGCAGACATCTCTCCCCCTGCTCGCTCTCGCACAAGAACAAAACGTGACCTGTGCGGGTTGTTTTTTTAAATGCGCATGCGCATTAACATCTCCGTGAAAGGGGCGTGTTCGCGGGAATTTGACGCGCGCGAAAAGCCGGCTGGCTGCAAAAGAGATCAAGGCGACGCTGGCCGGGACGCTCGTCCAGCGAAACAGTAGGGAGACTGAATAAAGATCGGAGCGTAGTGCCGAGCTCTTCATTCGGCCATTGAGCGATCGGAGAAGCGGATCAGTCTGTGCAGACGAGAATATCAACGATTCATCACTCGAGAACGACTTGTTGGTGATCTTTATTTGGAGTATTCAGATCAACTAGAGCAACAACTACAGAGATCATGGGAGCTCAGGACGACAAGAAGATCGCCAGCAAACCTCCGACTGGTCAGTGAAAAACCTAACTCATAGATCGCTCAACTAAATAACTAGTCAGCGTCGCCTACAATTATACTAGACTCAACACTCATATCTGCATAGTGTAGTGTATCCATACTATCTGTCTGTGTGTGTGTGTCAGGTCAGAGAGGGTCTGTTAGCGGCAGAGGAAGGAGGAGACTGGACTTCAAGAGGTTCCAGGGAAAGACAATGTTCCTGGATCTCCCTGGATATCGCCACGTCGCCAGACTGGAGCAAGAGCTGACCTCTCGTGGAGCTGTGAGTGGCTGTGTGTGTGTGTATACGAGAAAGAGTAAAGATAGGAAGAAGAGATCTACCTCTGTGTTTTAGCATAAGTATTTGTTGAGATAAAAGAAAAATATAGCTCAGAGATGGATTGTCTAGAGGCTGAGTTGTAGGTTAAAAAACAATTTGTTGGCGTTAGTTCTGATTAGCCTTCCGAGCAGGGGCGACTGTACCAGATAGAGATTAGACAGGAAACACCCTGTTGCTAGGGTGGCTCTTTACTAATTCATTTTTAACTCTACTCCTGAGTGAACACTTTAACCATCTGCCCACTGCAGACACTTGAGACTCAGTTCCATTCCGGAGTCAAGTATCTCATCACGATGGCACGGAATGGAGACGGCAAGGGCCACTCCAACTCTCCCTCCACCCCTTCTCCCCTCACTCCTGGCAGGAGGTAAGCCACCAGCCACTTTAATTCCGTGTCATTAAGACTTTACTACGTTACTCTTTCTCCAGCTCTATTTCCCAGCTGTTGTCCCCGGCAACAGACCACTCCCCCAGCGAGGCAACCCCAGTTCGTCACGGGATCCTGACGAGGTCCCAGCAGATGCTGCAGCTGTCTCGCGGACGAGGAGGGAGGAAGGCCGACCTGCAGGCTCTCGCACAACAGTGGGGGTCGAAGGTCGTTACCTTGGAGGAGCTGCTGGGTGAACTGAAGCGACTGAAACCTCTTCCATCGGCAGCCACTGCTGACTCCTCTGATACTTCGACTTGTGGACGGGAATCCAAAGGTTTGTCTATCTAATTGGAATTTAAAAAAGTTGTCCACATTGATTTTTTAATACTTATGTGTATGGTTTTGTTTCCATGTACATCCTTGGGGTAGTCCTATGTAGGTGTAGTTGTGTTGGCTTTAGTTGACACAGGAGCGTGCATGCAACATTCTGTATAGTGGCAATACCAGTTATCTTTCTCTCTCTCCTCCCTCTCCAGTGAGGGCATTGAGAGGAGCATTCCTGAAGGTCGAAGATCTCTCTCGTCTCTACCGTCCCCTCGTCCTGGAGATGAAGAGATGGCCACGCCCACTCTGCCACGCCTCTCACAAGGCCTCGCCCTTTGACCCTCCACACCTGACAGCAAAGTCTCCCGAACAGCAGCAACAGCTCCAGCAGAAGAAGGAGATGAGAGGAGATAAGGTGGAGAAGAGACCCGGACACTGCGAATGTTGCTCTGTCAAATTTGACGACCTCCAAATGGTGAGCAATAATGTGAATTTTGCGTGTCACTTTTTAAAGTGTTCTCCTCCCCACAGCACCTGCGAAGCTCAAAACACCAGGAGTACGCCAGCAATGAGAAGAACTTTGCATCACTGGACAAGCTGATGGCCCAGAGCAAGCCGTTCGATCAGTTCATTGCCGAACTGAGGGCAACGCCCCCTGAACCCACCTGGTTAGACCACACCCCTTTCTCCCCCTTCCTCAGTGCTCTTAAATGTAATAGGGGTGTATGCATGTCATTTCTTCTAAAATCTTTCGTTATTGATTTTGTCCATGTGCTACTCTCTATGCTCTCTGTGGCAGATTTATGGGCTCTAGTTGTGGTGCTCCCCATCTTTACTAGTTGAGACCGCTTTTAGCAAGAAGCATTTAGAGCTGATGAAGGGGGGAATAAGTTAGTTTGTGTAAATTGTCAGTGAGTAAATTACTTCATCCATGTATCTGTGTTTGATATGCTTGTTTCTCTCTGTTTCCTTGCAGTGCCACATCTCTACCGACATACACCCCGCCCGCCACCTCTCCCCCAGTCCCATCCTCTCGTCCCGACAGCGTCGTCCTCGTGACCCCACCCACTTCCAGAGCCACACCCACCAGACGAAGATCTCCCAGGAAACACCCCTGCACCGCACAGCATCACTCACCTCTGAAGAAGAACACTCCGTCTCCTCGGAAACCAAACAGAACTGATTCCACTCCAATCAACAGAAAGAGAAAAGCATCGTCGTGTGAAGCCACACCCACTAACAAGTCCCCGAGATTCGAGACCACACCCACAAAGCAACTTAGATTTTCACCTGAGCTGTCCATCCCGCTAAAGCGTCTCAGAAGCCACTCCCATTCTACCACACCCCCATCGACAGGAGGTAGTCCGGCGAGGAAGAGGGCGCGGCCTGCAGTGACCCCGTCACCCAGTCCGGAGGGAGTGAGACGATCGCCACGACTACTGCTGAGACAGATGGCTGCCGAGGCAACCAATGAACAATGAACACTGTCATTCCTGCATGTCTGTGTGTAACTCATCCATGTGTAACCGTGATAATTTTTGAAAAAAGTTGTATACGCACGCGCAGCGCATGCTCTGAAGAGGCGCACACATTACTACTGCGCATGCGTATTTACTGAAAAATGGCGACCGCTAGTGCTCGTTCTGTACCGGAGCTCCAAGAGGCTAAGAGAGCTCTTGGGAACCTCTCACTGGCAAAGACGAAGACCCTCGTGTTCCAACTCGGCGTGTCTCGCAGAGACATCCACCACATCGATGCTCGTTACAGCGGAGACGCCGTAAAGAAGGAGTTGTTGATAGATAAATGGCTTGACAGCGATCCCAGCGCCAGCTGGGACAAGCTTGTCTCTGGTATAGTCGACATGATAGATTGGAAGGCAGTACCCATCCCCCCTCATATCCCCTCTGC